TTGGATGGGTGACCGCCTGGGAATACCGAGTGTCGTAACCTTTTTTTAGTTTTATTTTTATTATACATGCTATTTTATTGTAAAATACTGTTCAAACGAAAAATCTTACAATATTCTGCATTGTACTAGGAAATCAGATGCTTTTTTTTTCATACAAAAAAGCACTAGAAAATCGAGGGTGTGGATGTGTGCCTACATAGAGAAAGTAGACATTCATACCCACTTTTAAGAGTAGAAACAGCAGGAGCTAACAGTTATATAGACTAATAATGATGATTTATCATCAAATATACACAATCGAGTCTCACTGCTGAAAAGAATTTTGATTTTATATTTTTTATTTTTCCAGTCTTAACATGTTATTATATTAGAATGATGAATGATAATCATGAATACGTATTCTATAATTAAAAATGTACTATTTTACTTTATTATAAATAATAAATATAAATTTAATTACATACTTTCAAAGAAAAGAGATAAAATCTGCGACAACATATCACAGAGAATGATAGGGTGAAATTTCGTTCATCTTTAAACTACAATAACTTTATGCTTTATTGGGTAACCGGAACTTCATCAATGACGAAAGTATAGGAGAGGTGTTAACGGAAGTATATCGAACTTTCACCAATTAGAAAAATTTCAGAAAGTCTATTGGCGAAGATTCAGAATCCCTTTATGAAACAACAGACAAGCAGAAAAAGTAAATTAGTACATTCTACTGACGTCATGTTTGATTTAGTTGTATGAACAGATGTGTTACATTGTTTCAAATATCGAAAATAAAACTGAATAACTTTATTTGTTCACGTAGTTTGATCTATATTCTTCGATGACATTATTAATATTTTCAAAGTTCATTGTGTTAACTCAAAAATAGCTTATGAATAAAGACATGTTGCATGAATGGAATACTTTTTAATCTAATAGAATTAATTATTAAGAGAAAGAATTAATAATAGATTATCAACTAGTAGTTACAATACAACATGTTAAATGAGAATCATATAAAGCTATTAGAAGTGTTTAATAATACTTTAATTAAGTAAATTGATATTAAATCAAATCTTACTAAGACATGTTATGATGATTTCACATTAGTATATCATAATTCATTTATTTTTTAGGTTATTTTATGAAATATTACAAATCATTTTTCTTTTAATATACAGAAAACAGAACTTCGTTGTATTTTTTCAAAAAAAAACATTATTTTATATTACATAACAAATATTGATTTACTTTCAAATAATATATAAAGTAATGTTCTAAGAGAGACTGTTTTAGTTATGATGATTATACTTTTTTTAATACTGTTTTATTTGTAAGTAATCTTGATCCAGATTCAGATTCATCTTCATCCAGAAGTTTACCACGAAGACAACAACAGCAACAACAATAAAAGAAACTATTTTTTTTATAACGAGTTGGACCAGAATAATTTAGTTTTGTATGTTCAGTCTAAAAAATCATAATAGTTATTATGAGAAATAATAAGAAATAAATAAATATATGTCATAAAATCATACCTGTTTAACATATTCAATATGTCCATTTTCACGAATTTGTAGTTTTACATATTGACCATCTGTCCATGTTCCGACAAATTTTTCAGGAGGTATATTTCCATAACAACAAGTACCCATAATACTTTCTCACTTACTATCATTAATATTTTGTATATCATAGTATAAACAGTATAAATATTTATATATATATACAAATTCGCTCAAGCATGAAGTATAGGCGTTATCATGGATGACGAATTAGCTAATAGTAAACGTCACTTATTCAACACGCAACATACGTCATACTATGTTTTTATAAAAAAGTGAGTAATTAAATTGTATCATATAGTGTTTGACAGAGGTGCAGAATCTTCCCAAAAATCAAAAATTTCCCTCATCGCGCGGGGGCGCACGAGGAAGATTCTGTACCAGGGATCGTCATGGGATGGGATGGGATGAGGTCTCGTTCCCACGGGATGGGATGGGATGAGTCTTACCTCCCACGGATATATGATTTCTTTTTTTTAAGACAAATATTATTCTGAATAGAGGTCGCATTTGACAAGCAGTAAACATAAGTAATATACTTGTCGCTTTTCTGTATTGATTAATATTTTTTACTCTAAACATTATCAAACAGATAAATAAAGGAATGATAAAATTAGAAATCAGTAAAGGAAATCTAAATATTATTAGATCAATAGTATAAAATATTTCATTATTTTTCGTTATAATATTTACTCAATATTATTTGTCGTAGGATTTAATTTATATTTTTGTACTTATGTATATGATGACTCATATATTTTTGCTGATAATCGGAGCTTTTGTTTGATTTTATTAGAGGGGACGAGAAGGAAGAAACTAGAGAGAAAGTCTCCCGAAACCAGGTAGAAAATCTTAAGATCAGAGAGAAATGATCTACAGGTCATAAGAACTTTCCTTTTTGCGAGAAAACGGCTAATTCCCCTTGAAAACTATTGTGGAAGCCTTTTTCTACACCAAAAACAATTGACTTTAGTCAATTCTTCAAAATCTCTCTTTCTTTTTTGAAGGAAGTATTCTCTTTTGCATGAATCCTTTAAAGTAGTGGTATAAAGAATACCAAAAAGTAGTGAATAAAGATTTTTAGGGGAAAAACTATAACAGAACAAAAAATTAAGTGGAGAGATATTTCCCTGCTTCCCACCCTAATCGTATGGCCTGTTGGTAATAGTATTGTTGTTTTGTATTTTCTTATTTTTTTTTCTATTTTGAGAAAGTACTATTGTACAGCGAAGAGTATTGAAGTAACTTTTATTTTATATTTATGAAAAATAGATTATCATAAAGAATGTGTCATAAATGAAAATGATTATTTGATTTAATAAAACATATTGCAGAATGAAATTTAATTTTTAATACAGTTTTGTTACAGTGTGACATATCCCATGGGATCCCATGGGATGGGATGGGACTGGTCATGATTCCCATGGGATGGGATGGGATGAGTCGCATCGTCCCGTGGTATGGAAAGTCCGTCTCATCCCATGACGATCCCTGTTCTGTACCTCTGATGTTTGAACATATTTTGACATTATTGTAATCAACTAATAAAAGGATGTTATATATTTTTCTTTTGATGCCTAATATTTTGCAATATTTCTATTGACATTTCAAACGATATCAGTGAAATATGAGATTTTCATTCATGCATAATATTCTTAATATGTTTAGATAATAGTTATAGACTTTACATTCTATTCGAATAATTAAGTCATGGGAGAGAGATATATATACACAAACAAATTTCATATTTATATAAAAAAACAAAGGAAAGATATAACTTTCCTTGTATTTGATAAAAATGTCAAGATTAAGTTTGATTTTTTTATTAATATTTCTTACAATTATTCAAGGTTTTATTCCACATCCATCTATTCGTGTAGGTGGTCGAGCTGGTGAAAGTAAGTTATTTTAATCTTATGATTCAAATATATATATCTATATAATCATATTCTTCATAGGTATAACTCATACAGAAATAACTCAAATAGGATTTGTTCGTAGTCTTGCTCGTTATCTTCTCGAAATAAAAGCAATTCATAAATATGAAATAAATAATAATACAGAATATAGTATTGATGACTTATATGAGTTAACATATCCAGACTGGTCTGAGGAAAAACTTCATATTCAAACTTATCCATTAAAAAGTGTGCTTGATACATTATTAGTTGAAAATGCATTTGTTGATATCGATAAGTGGACGAAAAAATTACCAGCGGCACATTTTGATAGTGAAGCATTTAGTAATGCAAGTCGACGTATGATTAAAATACGAAAAATAAGTAAATGAATTTTTTTAAATTAGTTGTTTTTTTGATTAAAATATTTTTTATTTTGTAGTTATTAATGATGTATTAAATACAACAAAAGATTTAATTCAAGCACGGCAGTTATTGGGACAGATATTACATACCTTACAAGATTTTTATTCACATTCAAATTGGATTGAATTAGGTAAAAAAGATATTAATACACGACTGGGCATTTACGAAGATATTGGACCTGTTGCTTCACCAAATCAACCAGCATGTATAAATAAAGGATGTATAACAAAACGAGTTAAATGTGTAAGGCGACTATACTATAAAGGATTTTAATTTCTAAAATTTTTCTTCTTTAAAGAATTTTCTACAAAAAATAACTTTGAATAAATGTCCATTGGAATATTATGAATGTAAAGATAATATTCATCCGGAGATAATTAAAAAACAACTATTAACTAGTGGTTATTCAGTTAATCAACATAATGAAGATAATCAACCAATTGCAAAACCAACAAATGTTGACAAATGTTCACATGGATCGGTTATGGATACATCATCACATATATCAGCTATTGGAGGAATTAATAAAGATACGATTATTTCAATTTATTCGCCACATTTTGATCTACAGTAAAAAATATGATTAGAAAGAAAAAAGAATAGTTTAATTATTTTCTTTTTTAAGTTATGAAGCAGCAACAATGGCTGTATTAGCAACTGAAAGATTTTTTAATGATTTACGAAAAGATTTAGGTGATGCAAATTTTGATCGTCTTTTTGCAATAACTCCAACACGAGATGAACTACATGCTGCATCGAAAGCTGTGGCACATTTGAGAAAATTTCGATTTTTTACACCATCAATATCAAGTGGTCTTACCATGGGTTCACGTTTTATGGATAATTTCAAAAAAACAGCAAAACAACGTTGGAATAAATTAAAATGGGCATTATTTCCTAATAAAAATGAATTAACAATTGAAGATGTATCATTTCGTCGTAAACGATCATTCAATTTTTAAAAAAAAAATCTTTTTTTGTTCATTTTCTTTTGGATTAATAAAACGCCTCCGAAGAAGCAGCAAAAATTGCAACCATTCCGACAGAGCCAGAATGTGCGGGATATTGGGTATTAGTTTTCAACTAGCAATAACCTCTCCTCGCGAAACGCTCATTGGATAAGGTACTGCCGCTGCGCAAAGATAACTTCATGATTGATTTACATTTTCTTTTAAAGTTAAATGAATGCAAAACAAATCGGTGAATGAATAATAGACAGATATAATATGAATCATTGCAATTCTGTCAAGTGAAGAAAAAACATTTTTCTTTCCTGTCGTCCCTCATTGCATATGGAAGAATAAACACGCTATTATATCTTTTTTGTCATGAATAAATAAGAAAATATATTTTTTTGAGTTGGTTTTTTCCAACCATTCAAGTGGTTGCTGTTCTCTTGCTCCTTACCTACGCTAAAAAAAATATTTTTGCAAGACAACAAAGAGACACCTGACATATTTGATAAGAATGTCTGATACGGATTGTTTTTTTTTTAACAAAAATAACATCGTTGTGAGTATTAAAAATAATAATTTTGATCTTTTAGAACTACTCGTTATCGAATTGATCTGATAAATGAACTGAATTTTTGACAAACTACTTTTTTAATTTTCTAAATAAAAATAAATTATAGGAAAGAAAATATAGCCACGACTGTGGCTTATTTTTTTTCTCATGACCAACTATCATGACACATTGCTAATGCATTTGTTTTATATACGATAATCGTATACTCCACAAACACAATTTATTTTTAATTCAATAGTAACGTGATGTAGAACTAGAAGGTATCCCTTTATAGTCTACATTATAACAAGCATAAATGAAAATTGATGATTAATTGTGATGTATGTAAAATTATAGTTAAAAATACTTTTATTTTATATAGAGGTTATGCAAATATAAAGAAGGACATCTGTTGTTGTTTTTTTTCTTTACAGATTAAAATACAAATTCACAGAAAAACTATGCTTGATCCATGTTGATGAAAAACAACTAGTACTGTATTGTATCATTGTTAGTATGGATCTTCATACTAATGATAGTGAACAATTGCTGAAAAAGTAAGTAAAATTAAATAAAAGAAAAACAATAAGTGAGTTTTTATCTTTTTATAGGCATTGTCCATCGCCTCCATATGATCATATGGGTCCATCGAGTTTTGAACCTAATGAAATAGATGCTTTACATGCATCTAATCCTCCAACAACGATGGATGGTATTGTACCAGAAGTTAATATTGTAAGTTGTGTTTTTTTTATTGAGATAATGTTGTTGTCTATACATACTATAGGATGAAGTAAATCAACAAGTCCCCAGATATGAAGAGCATGTGAAAACAGGTGAAATATCCGATGAACAAAGTAAAAACTTCATATTTCCTTAAATACTTGAAAATTTTTATTTTGTCAATAGGTGAATCTGATGAAGATCGCGGACCTAATCATACACGCTCGACAATAAATGTTAGCCCAAACAGTAATCGAAGCAATAAAGCATTGAGCGGTATAATTGCCATACAGGTACTTATTTATTATTAAACTTTACATACGATGACAGATTTATCGATTAGATCGCAAGTTTTCCAGCTGCATGTAATAGTTTGTCAATTCATTGGCATTTATATAGAATCAAAATGGCGATGGACGATGATCTTGGTTTTATTGTTCCGGATGAATTCATAAAAGTAAAAAATTATTTTAAAGATTATTTTTACGATAAAAAATACTTTCTAGTTACCACTATTCAATATTTATACTGATAAGGGCACACTTGAAGTTCAACTTGAATACGTTGGACCAATTGATTTCAATCAATGGAAAAATTTACTTGGACGGTTTTGTCGACATATTTTCGAAGAAGTTTTCGATGATATGAATATAGGATTAGAATCAAATCTTAAATTTGATATCGAAAATTCGACCTTCAAATTACTACCATGTCTTTTGACAAGTAAGATTATTTATTTTATTTCTTATGGTAATTAATTTTATTTTTCAATAGAACTTGGCCATATTGATGATAAACGAATAACATCTATATTAAATCGAAAAAATGAGTTGGTACGCCATCCATCTCAATTGAATAATGAAGAGCTTTATATGAGTTCGGAATCTTCGCCTAAACAGTTTTATAAGTACCATTCTATAGGCTCTTCATCAAAACGAAAACATGATGAATCTAATACTGAAAATCTTCGGAATAGCAATACAAGTTATAATAATTATCTAAAGGCTCAAATGGAACGTGTAAAAAAACAAAAAACCGATTACTTAAAGGTTAATGCGTCAAAACAGAACAAAGAATCGGCCTGTATACCAGCAAGCTATCCAGTTGAAGTTTTGCGCTATGCTCCACTTAATCAACTAGACTTTCAATTAATTTGCAAATTGCCCCCTATTCTTACTCGTATTAAACAGTTGTATTACATCGAGCAACTCAAACAACTTCTAATTAATAATATTCAACCTAATACAATTGACCAAATATCAATTAATGTCACTTTTAATGATTGTTTGACTGATATTCTTTCATCAGTAAGATTCTTAAAATTAATATTATATATATAATGTATTGTATCGTAAATAGGCTCAGCCAACTTCATTCCTACTTGGCTCTCTTAATTATGATCTGTTATCAACCGATAATTGCGGATTTCAAATAACATCGGATCTACTATTTCAAGCAATCACTCGTCGTTCAGCTGATGAAAATACTGACATGGAGAGCCTTGAGATGCTAGGCGATTGTTTTCTTAAATTATCCATGTCATTATCACTTTATCATCAATATGTGGATGGAACTGGTAAATTGACATCAAAAAGAAGTGAGCAAATCTCTAACGACAATCTTTACCGCTTAGCTTTTCAAAAGAACTTACAAAAGTATTTAAATATTAATAAACCAATTTATGAGGGTCAAAAAGCTAACTGGATACCACCTGGATATAGAATAACCAATGGTGATATATCTAAAAGATATACTACACAAGAAGCTACAAAAAAAGCACTTCCTGATATGACAGAAGCATTAATTGGTGCTTCTCTAGTAAAAAATGGTAATATTCCAACCATAAAACTTATTGATTGGTTAGGTGCAGATGTAATTCCAAAAAAGATACAAGGTAAAATAACCAAATTTTGTTTTTATTCACTATAGTATTTAATCATAGATGGTGTAATGGAAATATCTTCCATTCTTCAAAGAAATTTCACAAATGATTTAATTAGACAATTTTACGATGAGAAGTTATTTAATGAAATTGAAAAAGAAATTAGATATGATTTTACGAACAAAGCATATCTCATTACAGCGTTTACTCATTCATCATATGCTAAGAAAGCTGTAACAAAAGACTATAACAGGTAAATAAACAAATATAACATGAACTAATCTCATCTTTTGTTCTAAGGTTAAAATTCGTAGGCAATGCATTACTAGAATATTTAATCGTACGATATATTTTTCTTACTAAAAAATTTACTACACCAGGTAATAGTAAATTATTTGCTTTTCTTTTTAGTAACAAATCTTTCTTATAGGTGACATAACAAGCCTTCGACAAAATATATTAAATAAAAGTCATCTGGCTGACATTTTAGTAGATCACCAGTTACATACAAAAATTCTTTGTAATCTTTCAGAATCCAAAAAATTATTCTTATATGCTGATGAAAAGAATTCCACGGCAAAAGAAAATGTATATAAAATTAAATTTTCTGTTATAGGTATAATTTTTTTTCTTATAGGATTCTGTTGTATCGTCTAATTCTCTTAATTTACCACAAATATTACCAGATGTATTTGAAGCATTAGTCGGTGCTATATTCCTCGATACGGGTCATTCTTTAAAAATAGTTTGGGATGTTATTTTTCCCTTAATTCAGCCATTTATCGGTAAATCAAGATGTTAATATTGAAGATATATTATTGTTTCTATTTCATTTAGATCATATAATTGAGCATTCGGGTATACTTCTAAAACAATCTGGAAAAGTCATCAAGTAAATTCTTATTATAATAACCAGTTTTATACTATTTTATACTTGTTATTTTTATAGATGCAAATCTGATGAAAGTTCTGACAAATTACAGAATGACAGTAACAAAGAAGTTACAAAGGGAGTAAAGAAAAAAGCAAATATAACAACATAATTCTCGTAATACCAAACCAAGTATGCGACACAATGATGTTATAATAATGTATATATCATGTACTTATCGTCAATACGTATTGACGCTAATTATTCGATATATATATAATATTATAACATCAAGCAAATTCTTAGTGTGTGGTTTTACATAATGGAACATTCTATGAGTATTCAATAATGTCAAATTTGAAGCAATTTTTACTGTATAGCATTATGTGCAGTTCACGAAAGAAATGGAATCAACTTTACTAAGGAAACATCAATATAGAGCACATCTTCATCATGAGAATAAGATGTCTTCGAACTCTACATGATCGTCAAATATTAGTATAATATATTTTTATCAAAATTTAATTCAACATTAGTGTTG